ACTTTTGACAGCGACAAATCGTTAGCTTGGAGCCGGTCTGCAGCATGACAAAATTAACTTGAGCTGGGGAGAAAAGAAACCACCTCTCTCTTGACAAGTGTATTAGATTTCCAAGGGAAGGAGAAATTGCTGTTGAGAAAAACAGAGAGAAGTGAGAGGAATGTCAAACCAGGTTAAAAATAACTACTTGGGTATTATCTCCTCGCACTGGAGTGTCTGTGTGACTGCTGTGTTTACGCCATGTCAGTCAGGCCGTGGTTGTGTTGGAGATGTCTGTAAATTAAAGCCATAGGCAGGTAAGCTGGAAACGAGGTTTTTGAAGGGGGATGCACCTATGCGTCTGGGAATGAGGGATGAGGAGGAAAATGTCCCTTGGCTGTGGTGTGGCAGGCATGGGGGGACTACAGGCACCCGCTGCCGTGATGGGGATGTCCCCCAGCCCTATGCTTGGGGTGCCGGCTGCCCTTGGTTTGGAGCTGGTGGCCCTCCAGTGTGGCTGGGAGCTTGGTAGCATCATGGGTACCATACCCATCCTGCTCTGGGGTTCTTGCAGAGATGGGTGAGTGTCTGTTGCTGGCGGCTGGGACAAGTGAGCAGGCTGAGGGCACTGGAGGTGGCTCCAGCTGATGGATCCTCTGTGCATCCCCAACAGAGCTGGATTTAGTCTCTTTTTTAAGGAAGGGAACTGAGGTAGAGATGCCCTGAGGGTGGGCGGAATGGCCCACCGCCGATACCTGCACTCATCTTGCCCATGGCACTGCTCCAGTGCCGATGGGGAGCTGCAGCTCCCAGTTCTTCTCCCACTTCCAATTCCAGTTATGGAAAACACCCACAAACCCCGGAGACGGCTTCTGGCCAAGAGCCGTTGCTGGGACAGACTGTTTGCAGTTTTGCTGTCTAACACAGCTCTCCTACCACCTGAAAATACCTGAGGGTCCAGACTCGTGCCTTGAAGGGGTGCTAAACTGTAATCTAATTGATAGCCTCAACTCCAGCAAGTCCATTTTAACAGTGACCTGCAGTGTCTGCAAACAGACAGACCTGCAGGCTGGGGAAAGGAGGGAGGCAAGTCAAGAGAAATAGAGCTGAATAAATATTTGCTCTGTGGCATCTACTGGAGAAATTCCTCCAGCAGGAAAACACACTGCAAATAAAGATAGCCTATGCTGCTGGCTCTCCTTCCACTGTGGGACGTCTTGGCTTGGTTTTGCCCTTTTGGGCTCTCAGGCATCCTTAAAAATCAGTCTTAACCACCCTGCCCTAAGCAGGGGACGCGTTAGGTTGGTGGGAGCTGGGTCACAGGAGAATCGCTGGGTGCTTCGAAGCAAAGCTGTGGCCAGCCGGCGCCCGGGGCTGCGTTTGGAGGAGGAGGAGGGCTGAAGGAGGTCAGACAGGGTTGGTGCCATACAAAAAACCACCCAGGAAGAGTCGTTAGGGCTCGAGCTAATTATAGTCTGTCTGGGTGGTGGTTTGAGGTTTATGAGATAGGAAGTGCTTTCTAGCTGCATGGCTGCTTTGCCCTGTAAGGAGGGTCTCGGGGCCATGCAGATGGGGATGCACCTGCAGCACCCCTTTCTCGTAAGCAGGAAGGTGTGACGGGTCCGGAGAGCACAGGCTGGGCAGCGAGCAGCCTCCGCCACCACAACACCCAGTTAAGGCAATTAGGTGGCTCCAGACAAGCTCTGGTGATTCACCCACAATGGTTTGGAGGTGGCTGCCCCCTCTCATGGACTTTTCTGTCCCCTTTAGCCGGGGGTTGGCGAGGATTGGTACAGGGTTGGGGGGAGATGGTCGCCCTGTCCGCTTGGCTGGTGAGACAGGCATGGTGACACCGATGACACCAGTGGCTGTGACTTCCTTATGTTTAGGTGTGCTTTACTCTGACTCAGTCTGGTTACCTCTGGCACAGGTTATCTCTGCCTCCCCCATCAGCGAATCCATTGGATTGAATTTGTTAACACTGGTAAAGCTTGGCTTCTCAGATGGCTGGTCTTAACCTACAAAAAACTATTTGATTTGTCATTATTCCTTAGTTTCTGCAGGAGAGTTTTAATTTTTCTCCTTTGTGCCAGTCGAGGTTTCTCCTGTAGCCTTTGCTGTTGTTGTTTTGCACTGAGCAGAACATTGACTCATCGGCAGCCTCTGTGATAACTATAATTAGGAGAAAATGCATTTACAAAGCTCTTTCCTCTGATGCAAGCACATCATTGTCCTTGCAGAGAAATAATTCTTGCCATGCTTTCAGGTGGGTGTGGGCAGCTAGTGATTACATTTGACGCTCGTATTATTTGAATGAATTTTCCTAGCTGGATATGCTGCCTATGGAGCGAGGGCTAGACTAAAGCTGTCTTTATGCTCCCCACTTGTTATGAGCATGTCTCTACCCATATTTATAGGAAAATAATATAAATGTCTAGAGTGGAGTAGCGATCAGAGAGAGCACTGAGACTGTGTCATATATCCAGAGACTTATTTAGTGCTTTTGAAAAGGAGTAAATGTCAAGAGAAGATAATTCACTGGAGTTTTGTCAAAACATCAACTGGGGTGGCTTGTTGGGAGAGCGTCTGCTTGGCAATCTTTTCCCACTGCTGTACCTGAGCTGCGCCTTGAATGGTATCTTGCTCTTGCAGGGACCCGCGGGATGCTTCGAGCCCTGCTCTCAGGCTGGTCGGGCTTGTTGCCTGCAGAGCCCAGCACTGCTGGCCTGGCTGCCTCCCCCCTGCCACCCCCAAATCCCCTTGCATGCCCCCACTGCAGCGGCCAGGGCCTTGGGTGACTCTGCCTACTTTGTTGGGGTGAGAAAAGGTGCTGGCAGCTGAAAGCAACCCCTCCTGCCCCTCTGCCCTGACCCCAGCACCACTCTGCAGCCTGCTCATTGCCTTTTTGGGTTCAGTTCATTATCACCGATCCGTGCTCCCCCCGCCTGCACCTTCCTTGGACACCGGCGTTGCTGCCCGTGGGTTTTGCTTTTCCCAGTTGCAAGCATGCGCCGGAGGGAACAGACCTTGGCAATACTACAGAGGGAAGAGGAGTAAAGACTAGTTGAGCTGCATAGGTCTTTTTCTCTCCATCTTACACCTTGCACAGTCATACGGGGTTTAGGGCCAAGGAAGAACAGTCGGTCTAATATCCCATTAAAATGCTGCTGTGCTCATCGGAGTAACTGCTGGGAGAGCTCAGCCCCGCTCCAGACAGCGAGAAAACTCATAAAGGTCTGCCTTTGCTTCAGGGGGAAAAGCACAGTTTAGAAAACTGTTTCAGTGGCTAAATAATAGGGAATACCTACGCAAATCACAGGCTGCTGCGTTTTATTTGGTCACCTTGTTGCAGGCTCAGATTAATCAGTGCCGTGCCACTGTAGATAACGGGAGAGATTATGGCCCCAGTCTGGCAACAGCCCACTTCTGCGGGTTCAGAAGCAGTGGTTAGGCACATGTTTATACCTGTATGCATCCGATCCTGGATCATCTCGAGGCATCCCTCTGAGGGCTCTCCATATCACTGTCCATCGCTGGATACCCCCCATCACCCAGTTCAAATGGCTGGGACAGGTCATCCCTTGCTATTCCTCCAGCAAAGATACGTGAGGTGTTGTTATTTTGTACGTTTGTATGTGTGCCCAGCAAAGACGGTTCCAACCAACTGGAACACTTCCAGATCCTCCTGCCAGGGGTTGGCACTGAGCTGCTTATCTGCCTCGTCGGGGATCAGCAATAAATTCACCTCCAGCGGGCAAAGCTGCCCAGCGTGTTTTACCGCTCATTGTTCCTTTGCTGCTCTCCGTGACAGGCCGTTTGACACTTTTATAAATGGTCTTGTTCTCTGTGGGATTAACCTACGTTTATCATAATTGTAGTACAGAGAAAGAAACGCTCATTTCAATATAAAAAGTGACCCCGGTTGTTTCCCGGGCAGACGGCGGGTGAGTTTAGTAGGGTGGAAAGCACAGAGGTTAATGCCCCGGTACAGTGAATTCCCCACTCCCCTCTGGAGCAGAGTCTGTTTGCTCAGGGCTTTATGCTCTGGGCGTAAAAAGAACCAAATACAAATAATACAAATAGCGGGTGTTGTCACTGAGCTTTTAACTCTGTAATTCATGGGCAAGATGGGACCCGGACTGACATTAGTGGGGCTGCGGGAAGGTGGTGGGATTCACCCTCAGCTGGGTCTGAAGTCTGCAGTGAAATGTGGGTCTCTGCTCCAGAAGCACATCGCTAACTCTGAGCAGGAGAAAATTGCCTTCCCACTTATTTCCAGCCTGTACCTTTGGCAGGAGGACTTTTCTTGGGGCTGAGTACTCGTACCAAAACCATATGTTCTGCTAACTTATCATTATTCATATTATCTTAAACTTCTTATCAGGCCAGTTTATCTTGCTGCTCTCTCTGGGCTACTTAGCCCCATCACATCTTGTCTCTTCCTGAAGAATTCCTCCACCTCTCTCCTATTTGGGAAGGGTAACACACACTCCACCTCCCTTGGGGAATGGGTAGAAATAAATGGGTAGGAAGGGGTAGGAACAAATGCCAAATTACAAATGTTTGCTACCAAGAAGGTGTGTCTCATGCAAATGCTTCCAACCTCATGCCCTGACCTTTCCTTTGTTATCCTTATCTTTTAAAGAACAGTTTCTAAAACTTTTGTTTGGGTAAAAAAGCAAACAAACCAGGTTTCTGCCCTGCCTTCCCCTCAATTTGCAGTGAGCAGTGTCTGAGCAGCCTGTTCCACCTTGCAGCCTACAGACAGATATTGTTTTGCTGCTGGGGTCAAAGAATGTTTGGGATGAAACTTGGCATCATTCATAAAAGTCACCAGATGTGGTATGCTCCGTGTCAGAACCACTGTGCCACAGGGGGATTGTGCTGACCTTTATCTTACCAAGACAGACTCCTTATTGCTCGCAAGCAAACCAGTCTGACCTGTAAGTCCTCGCTGTGCTTGGATCTACCAGGCAGCCCATGCCAACTGCCCTTTCCCCATCTCCTCTCCATCCTTGCAGGCCCGAGTCCCGCGTCTGGACGGTGATGTTGCTGCTGGGGACGTGCCTGCTGTACTGCGCCCGTGTCACCGTGCCCATCTGCGCCGTCGCCCTGAGCACCCACTTCGACTGGGACAAGAAGCAGTCTGGCATAGTGCTCAGCAGCTTCTTCTGGGGCTACTGCTTGACACAGATTATCGGAGGACATATCAGTGACCAGTACTGGAAATTATTCTCATGTTTCGTCTGCTTGGGCTTTACCAATGGCACTTAGTTTGGTTTTGACCTCTCAGTTCAAGTCTCAGCAGTGGCTGTGCCAAGTTTCACCCTGGGACAGTGGTGGGGTGGGAGGGTGAAGCATGTCTGTGGGGAGGTTTGTGAGGTGCTGTATGTTGCTCTGAAACTAGTTGAGGTCTCTCCATCAGCCTCCCTCAGGGTCTGTAGCTCTGATTCAGAAAGGACTCATCGTTTTCACTGTCCGATTAAATCTCTGTGTCTTAAAATTGGTGCTGTTCTTATAGGGCAGCATGCACCGAAGGACTCTGCACTGGGAAAATCCCCAGCAAAGTCAGGGAGTGCCCACCCCATCACTGCTGCCTCGACAGTTCCTGCACAGCAGCTGCCAGAAAGATCTACAGTTACATTAATGGGCACTTAGACCAACAGAGGGGTTTTTTTCTCTTGGAAACAGTGAAGACCACTTTTATACCAGCATAATTTTTCTGATGGAGGTTGCTTTTAGGCAGAGCTGATGCAAAAGAGCAGATGGAAAACACCGTCACTGGTTAAGAAAAGCGGAACAGTGAGTGCAGCTTGGGCTTCCCCCCCATCAGAGATTGAGTGCAGCGGTGCGGTGGTGTCCTGGGGCTGGTGTCGGTGACCAGCCCCTCACTGCATGCTGCGGGACAGGAGGGAGGGGAGGGGGTCAGAGCTGCTGATCCCACTCCCCAAAAGGCTAAGGATATTTGTAAGAGGAGAAGAACAGGTTTGACTGAAAAGTTGCTCTTAAAAACAAGTTAAACTGGGAAGGACAATTGAGTCTTGGCTGGGGGGCTTTGCCCCTTTGCCCTCTGCTTGTTTTTGATAATAATAATGTGTTTTCTGTCCTCCAGAATAGGGGGTGAGAAAGTCCTCCTCCTCTCGGCATCAGCCTGGGGGTTCCTCACGGTCCTCACCCCACTGCTCACCCACGTCACCTCTGCCCACCTCGTTTTTATGGCCTCCTCCAGGTTCCTCATGGGGCTGCTGCAAGGTGAGACCCCTGCCCTGAGCTGTGTGTCTGCCCGGGGGTTTCCTTGCACCGGGGCTCCTGTGCAGTAAATTCCGATGCAAATCAGGTGGTTTGCAGTGCATGAACCCTTCTCCTGCGTGTTCAAGCAACCCTCTGTCTTGTAACTGCTTCTGCATCCAGAACTTCCACCAGAAGAAAGAAAAAGGGGCATTTCTGAAGTCGCTGTCAAGTTGTTGCCCTGTAGAAACCTCCCTGCCAGACGTGTGCTGCTGGCTTCTGAAATCATCAATGTTCCTGTTTGATTTTCTGCATTTTAAAACTCCATCAAAGCACTTGGGGAAAATTGGTCCTTGCCAAAACTTCTGAATAATTTGGGATGATTTTCCTTCCCTCCTGCCGAGCTGCAGCAGTAGGGGGGTACTGGGAGAAGCGCATGGCACCGGTGGATTTGCAGTAGCAGCAGTGATGATGAAACGGGATTCAGGAGAAGGCACACACACATCTTTCATGGGGAGGGATTCATTTGTGTTATTGTATATCCCTGTTCTGAATTCACCAAAGGTCTTGTTGCTTTGTCTCGGTGTTTAGCTCCTGTTGGATCTTTTAAATTTGCTTTTGATTTGCTCACGAGGACGCAGGAGCCTGACTGCTCCCTGCCTTGCTCCCATTGCTCGCAGGGGTGTATTTCCCGTCCCTGGCCAGCCTGCTGTCCCAGAAGGTCCGGGAGAGCGAGCGAGCCTTCACCTACAGCACAGTGGGGACTGGCTCGCAGTTTGGGTAAGTTCCAAAGGGTTTGAGCAGCGAGTGACAGTCTCTGGACATTGTATGTGATGAAATGCCATCAAATAGTTGGAGGCAAAACTCGCAGCCCAAAGTACATGTGGATTCCTGGGTCCTTGAGGACACTGGCTGAGCTGAGGAAGCCTCAGGCAGTTGCTGTCATGCATGTCAAGGATTTATGTGGGTTTTTTTTCTTTCTTTTCAAGCCAGACTTTGAAGAGTGTTTGCAACCTTTAATTACTATGGGAAACAGCCTGATCCAGTAGGAAGAGCGAGGGTCAACCTGAGACTGGTCACCTGTCCTTGCTGATAGATGAGGATAATATACCTTCCCCATCTCTCCTAATCTCCATGAGAATTTCCTTTCTAAATGGAAGTGTTGCTTAAAAGCCAAATAGAAATATTAATGTGTTTAATCACTTAGTTTTCCAGTGTATTAATTTCTTTTGTCGATTTATACGTTCTCTGAGATACCTTCTGCAGATCAGCAGCCTCATTTTCTCTCCCTGATGAGTGTGTTTCAGTGTGGGGCAGGCGAGCGTGAGGTCCCTTAGCAGTTCCTGCTGCTTGGCTGAGGATCCTGAGATGCCACGCAGGGAACGGGGCGGGTTGCAGAGTTGCGGGGTGACCGGGCAGGTGGGCAGTGCCTGCACACGCAGTGCCTGACGGTTCTTTTAAGCACATTTAGTGACATGCAGCATCCACTCCGGGAAGCATCTCCCGTCGCTGTGTGCTTAGCCAGCCCTTTCGCAGCCCTGTAGATCCATGTGGTTTCCCTTGCAGGACGCTGGTGATCGGCGGTGCAGGATCTCTCCTCCTGGATTGGTACGGCTGGGAGAGCGTTTTCTACTTCTCCGGTTTGCTCGCTTTGCTCTGGGTTTACTGCACCTGCAAGTACCTACTGAGTGAGAAAGGTAAGAGCAGCCGCCTGCATCCTGAGGCTGCCAGTGGTCCCGAGGCTGCCGGGCCCGAGTGATACCACTGGCGTTTTCTGCCAAACCCCCATGTTTCTGAGATCACGCCTGGTTTTCCACACAGACTTTGGTTCAGATATCTTGTATAATGTACGCTGTGTCTGACCCAGGATGCTAAACCCAGAAACAAGGTTTTGAGCTCTTGCATTGCTGATTTCCAATTTAAGTCCTAGGCTGGATTATATTACTGTTGAGAGCCTGATCTGACTCCTCAGTACTCTTAAGCACCAGTGAAAACACCAAACAGACCATGATCTTCAAAGTGGATTAAGCTAAAGCAGGGCAAGGTACTTATTCCAAACTAAGAGCATCTACACATAGAGCTTTTAAAAACCAGTTAATCCGGAATATCTCTTCCTGAATAACTGTCTGGGAGTAATTCCACACATGAGCAAGCCATTACACCTGGCTACGGCATTATTAGTGCGAGCGTGGTACGTAGGAGCCCAGCTCACCAGGAGCCTGGTGTGTGCCTGCCGCTGCACAAAATCCAAACCTGGTCCTTGCCCAAAGAGACTTTTGTTTAATTATAACAAGGGATACAACAAGTGGGTGAAGGTGGCTGGATGGGGAAGTGTGTGGGTGCAGTGGAAAGATTTTGGTCAACGTAACAAGGTGTTTTCATGAGTACCCAATGCTGGTATTGCCAAAACCCCCCCCAAGATTAAAAATAGTTGTATAGTGGTCTCCCAGGGCTCCCTCCAGCTGCAGAGAGCATTACTGATCAGAGCTTTCCTTTGCATGTTTTCTTCCCTGCAGAACTCATCATCCCCATAGATTATTTAATGAGAGGCGTCTCGATATCCAAGCAGGCCAAAGTTCCCTGGAAACAGCTATTTAAGAAGGCGCCGATATGGTAGGAAGCTGCGGTGGCTTTGGGTGTCGGCAGGGCTGGGAGAGCACCCTCCTTCCAGGGGCTTTTCCTCCTCTCTGTGCTTATTTGTCCTGTCTGCATATATTTTGTCCGCTTATTTATATATTCTA